AACTAATGTTCCGAACTTCGCGAAAGTCTCAAAAACATTTTAAGATATTTCTTATAAAACATGATACACTCTATTATTCAAAGTGTCTCAGCGTGACAGAAGGTCCTCAATTGCCTTCACATTTTCCCCACGATTTCAAATCAACATTCGTAAATTCCGTACCTAACCTCAAAATGGCCCGGTACAATTGACTGCACTGACGAGCGCCTCAGAGCAGGTTAGGGCGCCGTGTGTGAGCACTGATTCCGGGTCATTGTGCGAATGGAACATGCGAATCTTTGCCCCGGCGCGCTCTAGCGGTACACGAAAGCTGCCTTCAGTGTATACTGAGTGGGAACCAGTGCGTCGAATGGAAAACGCTATTAGAGTTCGTGCCGGGTGGGGCGGGACCCCGCTGGGAGAGATTCCTAGAGGGGAAAACCTGGGTGATATCACGTTTCAACGGGGAAGGCACACCGCCGCACCCTTAAACATAACACGCACTACACTTACGGGACTACCGGCTTACGTAGTAAACGCTCCCGAATCTATAAATACTGGCTGACTCACTGCAAAGTCCTTGCTCTGTGTAGCCTTTCCCGAAGCGCCTAACCCCTCCCGTCCACATCCCTCGACGACCCTTCCCCTCGCCCCCCTCCACGCGATGACCGCTGCGCGCCCCTCGCCACTCGCAGGTCTTTAGGCTGTCCGCTAATCGCCGCATCTCCCCTCGCAGCCGCAGTCACGCCCGGCGGCGCCGCGCCGCCCGCCTTCCCTCGCGGCAACTGGGCGCGCCACGCGCTTCACTTGTTTGCCTGCTGACAGAAAACCGTCGCCACGTCAGGGCTACAAATAACATTTACGTCATTACGGCGTCGCATGATTATTCACAACAACCTTGTTAAATGCAATTTAAATAATTTTTAATAATATGCAAGAATCGTGTTAGGTGAGATTTTATTTAACAATACTGCAACACCATTCAGTTCTGTTTTTAATTATATGTCAAATAAACAAAACACTAATGAAAAAATGACAATCACGCAAAGACAATAAATATCACTCTGCGTACTGTTTCTTGTACATTACAATATCTTTCTTTTGACACTCGTCCGCGGTGTGTGATGCCCACTCAATGACCAGCCATCGTTCCTCGCCGCCCCTCGTCCCCCACATTGTCGCTCCCTGTGAACAGGCAGTTGCTTCAGTCATTCATATGAATGCACAACAAATTCAATACTGTTACTGACAACACACAAACATTTATAATCAATCAACACTTCTCAATGAGGCAAAGAAGAAAGAAAACAGAATTAGTTTTTACAATAATGGACATTCATATTATTTTATGAGGATTATCTAATGTTCGAAAAATTTCTCACCTTTTCGTTACTTTATAATAAACATGAATGGCATTTAGTATAAAGCAGAAAGAAAAAAAGTTTTTGTTTTCGGTTACAAGGCACACTAAGAGAGCTCATGATATGGTTTCGTTCCTCTTTTACTTTTGGTGATTTTATACGACTTCTCAACATTTTTTAAAATCAGATGTTAATGGACACGAAATATAATGGACCAGGTATGAAAATGCATACTGTGCACATAATATTGCTGGGTATAATTAACAATTATTAAACAATTATTTAGTATTCCAGAAAATATTCATACGTTTAAAAAATTAACCCGGGGATTTATTTTTTTAATGTATTTATTATCTTTCGACAAGCTTTGTCATTTGAGAATATTTAATTATAAAATATACGGTTTGTAGCTTTTTGGGAATGGCCATCCATTAGCAGTGGTTTTTATTACTCGGAGGAACGTAATATACATTGGGCTAAGTTAAATGAAGCGAGGTTGAATGTCGTTTCAGTTTTAATTCATTTAGCAGTTTGGAGGAATTGTAGTGGATTGAAACGGCCTTTGGGATATCTGGATTTGATACGCTGTTTTGCAGCATTGCGACGTAGACTGAAGATTAAGGAGCGCTGAAAAGAGTGAAGGTTTTGATTAAAATTGTGAGGTATTCGTCTTATGTTCCCGCTTAATGAAAGTAGGTTTAATTTTCTGTAAATCTGTATGTTTGGAATGAACCAAGGGACATTTGAAGTTCTTTTTAAAATATGTTTTGAATGGCTGCTAAGTTTAGGAAATTGCTAACGCATCCCCAAACTGGACGTGCGTTAATCATGGTGGGTAGAATTAGAGATTTAGATTAGAGCAGTCGACACTTTACTTTCAATGAAGAACGTGCATTTATTACAGGAAAGAGTTTCGATATTCTTGCTGATACTTCATTGGCTATTGCAATAATTTTAGGTTTCCATGTTATTTTTTTGTCAAACAACCCTTCCAAGTATTTTATCGGTGAGGTCTACGGTATTCATTTATTGTGAAGATTTAATGTGGTAGGACTTTTGAGACGGTGTAACGTGAAAATTTCAGCTTGGCATTTAAAATAGTTAATTTTGATTCTCCATTTCTGGGTCCACTTAACATACTAGTTCGGTGCTTTTTTAATATGGGATTTATTTTAAAACCATAAAGAAATAATAGATTAGTAAGGTAATTATTTTTTACTGATACATTATTATTTGTTACTCCCATCGATAAGAAGCTTCATATACACTACATAACGTTACTGGATCGACAGGACAATGTTAAAAAGGGAATATGAAACCGTTGAATGATGCTATAAGGGAGGGGATTAACAAGGAGTAATTATGAAAGAGAATTGTGGAAGAGAAATATGAGAAATACAAATTGAGTCAAGCTAACATGTAGTTAGTAAATAAGTAAATAGGAAACATTAAAATGAGGTAAAAAATGAAATCCTGTATGTACCGCGGGTAATAACTGCTTCAAGTGATGTAGATGGACTAAGAGTTCAATCATTAGAATCCTTTTTTTTATTTAAGGTCGCATTAACTAGGTCATTGCGACCACTATTGGTGTAACGGTATGGTAACTATGAGGATGACACGATAGGGTGATGACAGGGGAGTCAGAGGACGAACACAATACAACCATGCCCGAGGCGGGACTCGAATCCGTGATCCTCCGGTCCGAGATCGCAACGGCACCTTAGCGTTCTCGTCCATCCGGACCCGCGTTAGAATCCTTGTTACGCCTGTCGTGTGTGGCGTGTAATGGGCGCGTGTGCGGTGCGCAGGAGCGGGCGCGCGGAGGCGCACCCCACGGCGCGGGGCGCGGCGGCGGCCGGGGGCGGCGGGGCAGGCGGAGGGCGTGCGGCGGCTGCAGGGCGCGCACGTGGCGCTGTGCGCGGCGGCGGCGCGCGTGGACGCGGCGCTGGGCGTGCCCGTGCTGCTGGAGACGTGCTACCTGGCGGCGGAGCTGGTGTCGCGGCCTACGCGCTCTACCGCACGCGGGCTGGCGCGCACCGCGCTGTGCTGGGCGTGAGCGCCGCTGCGCCTGGCCACGGCGGCCGTGCCGGCGCACGCGTGCGGCGCGGCGGCGCGCGCGGGCGCCGAGTTGCTCGCCCGCGCGTCGCTCGCCCCGCCGCCGGACGCGCGCGCGCGCGCCGCCCTGCGCGACTTCGCCCGCCACGCGCTCCTCCACCCCATGCGCTTCTCCGCCGCCGGCGTCTTCGCCGTGGACGCGTCGCTGCTCTTCAACGCCCTCGTCGCCGCCGCCACCTACATCATCATCGCCCTGCAGTTCGAGTGCGGCCACGCCGATGACTGAACACGTGGGACACGCCACTTGGGGCGCGCTGCACGTCTGCAAATGTCCGTAAACTTATCACAAAATTGAAAAACAGTATCCCAGAATTTTGTTGTAATTACGAACTAATTTATACCAAAATTTAAAAATTTTGAAACGGTGCGCAACATCAAAATATTCAACACTAAAGAGAGGATACCAAGTTAGCGTAACCACTCTTTAGTGTTGCATATTTTCATGTTGTGGATCGGTAGAGAATTTTTGAATTTGGGTATAAATTAGTTCTTAATAAGAACAAAATTCTGGAATACTCTTTTTCAATTTTCTAATAAGTGGGTATGCTAGCTTTACGGATATTTTCTGCAAGCACTTCCAATTTCTTTGCCCTGCGCTTTGATGAGGATGTGCAATCTAATTTACGTAAAAGGTGTTTCGTGGACGAAAATTAACAAACCATGCCAACACGTACCTCTCAATTGCTGCAATCCGAGTACAATCAATTGACATAACTGTGTTGCTAGAAATGTGTTATGTATTGTATTGGCTGTTGCAAATTATTAACGCACGTCAGTGCATTGTAGTAAGTCATAATGCGTAACTGCGTCAGCAGCTCTGCGTGTGGAAAGACTACAGTCGAAGCCTCTCAAATGAATATACTGAAGCAGAAGGCGAAAACGTGACCAGTGTGTAAGAAGAGTCCTCAACCTGTGTAAGACCTGTGACGTTTTGTGAATCTAAAAATATTTCGAAAATTCTAAACATTATTGTGTCGCAATCGCAGTGAATATAGCGTGACGTGTTACGTGCTAGTAATTCTTCTTTCACGACGTTGACAACCACAAGAATAGATGAATGCATTGCAATAATATTATGCAACGCTTCCGCTCAAAGCATAACCTTGGTCAAAGCTGCATTTCATATGACGGCTTACGAGACTCGACTGAAGAAGGCAAATGTTCACTTCGATCCACTGGACTGAATTGTTCAATTCACTTGTGAATTTTAGTTATATAATAATGTTTTTTTTAATTTGAACATTTTCTCGCCACTGTCAATTTTTGTAATCGAGGACTGCGAATGAATTAAGCTAACTTCTTAATGTAAAGATTTTTGCTATTTCCATCTTTAAGCTAATGCTTTTATTAGGTACTGATATGAAAGCATCAATTCATTTTGAAAGAAACGCTTTTCACTAAAAAGAATATCGAATTCGTGGTATTTCATGCAACAATAATAAACGTTTACAATTTCGGATTTGCGAAATCCAGAGAACTGTGAAACCGCTTCCTACGCTTAAAGTAATTTCCACTGCAATTTCCGGGAGTTGCTCGTAAGAAATGTCTGTAACACTTCCGTGTGTAGTTACTGAGTGTGGCCTGGAAGTTTCGGCATTAGCGCCCCCGGTGTTTAATTGGCGCGTGGCCATCACGCTCGTGATCCGTGAGTGCGTCGCGTTCCGGCGCTCGAGTGCACGCGACCGCGTGGGCGCCACGGGTGGCTGCTCGGGGCCTTGCGTAAGAGCTCTCGTCACGGCCTCCTCCGCCCCCGCCCAGTCGCGCCCGGGCCGCCGGCGCGCCCACCGCTCCGCAGCAACAGAACCCGCGCTCGTTACAGCCCGCGTTGGCGCTTTATACTCCGCAGTTTTAACAGGTACTCAAAACAGTGGGAAAGAACGTTTCGCTGAAAATATGTGTGTAAATGTCGTGTGACGTGAGTGTTGTATTTCATACTGTGATTCGTGTTGCTTCAAATAAAAATGTTTGAAACGTATATTTGTGTTTATTGTGGTAACATTTACCATGCTCAAATATGAATCAGGAAGATCCACCTTTTAGGAAGTGAATATTGAAGGACATCACTTCTCACGTCAATTTTGGTAAGAAAGAAAAATTAAATTGAAATTTTCTTTTACTATTATTATTATAATTAATCCTTTACCTTTTAATAAAGTGTACATAGCTGACGTAGCTAATAACTACAATTTTTGAAAATATGCTATCGACATTGTCGGTATTAAGTATCGAGACATTGTGAACAAAGTTACTCCAAATTGAACCAGAGCTATTTTCGACCCAGTTGCCTTTTGTCATGTTTCGTTATAAAACAACAAATAACACGGCAATGTGAAACACATGAAATTTAATTACAGTGATACATATCATTTTATTCTCACTATTCCTCTCGTGAAACATTAACCCAAACATTTTATGCAGATTTTACCTACTTCATTTTCTTGCCTGGAATGTTCCGTTAACTCACAAAGTACTATATACGATTTATTGAAGATATTTTCCAAGTTTTTTGTCATTAATCAGAATATATAGTATTAACCAAAGATACATCCCTTAATTGGCATATTCCAAAACGCATTGCATTAAAAAATCCCGCATTCAATCTAAGTAATGGTAATGAATGTGAACTGTTTTGTCACTGATTTTCTTAACTTTTTCAAAAACAACAATATCATCTTAATTTAATGCCCATTCCCCTATATTATCTTTGGTAAAGCATGCATCTCAACCAGCCAAGGAATCTCCAGAAGAAAAAATAGATATAGTTTTTTTACAATATTATTAAGAAAATAGGTCTAATAAAAATATTTGCTGCCATCAATTGATCCCACTGCAGTGCCTCTGACCGGGATGTCCTAGGGTTCAAGTCCCCACGATGGTAGGATTTTCGACACTGGCCATATAACTAGATCGGATTCAGCCACTGTCTGCGGGAGAATTCTGGCGGTCGGCTGCTCTGATCGGTAGTTTGCCATGGTTTCTCCGACCAACACCAAGCGAATGCCAGAGCAGTACCCTAATAAACGACCATAGATCGCCCGCCATCTTTCCTTCCCCTTCCTATCCAACCCCTTACGTACACACACACTACTACACATGTCAGGGAACCAGTGAGGAGCTCAGAGCTTGTCCCGTCTGGGGCGGTGCACCGTTGGTGGGAGATATCTGGTTAGGGAAAACCCGGCTAGCCGACGGTAGGTCGGCGCCGGATCTCGTCATGCAGTTCGGGAAGATCACCGTCACATTCCATGATGGAATCATGCACTACACTAACGGGACCAGTGCTTCATCAGTTGTCGGCCCGAAATCACTAATCAATGGCTCAATCTATTTCCTCAGGTGCTCGTGCAGCTCGCGGGCGGGGGCGGCGGGGACGGGCGATGCGTGTGTGGGCGTGGCGGCCGCCGCCGCAGCGCTCGCTGTTCGGCGCCGTGCGCCCGCTGCTCGGCTTGTGCCGCGCGCTGGGCCTCTGCTGCCTCGCGGCGCGCCCGCGCGGCGGCGGGGGCGACTGGGAGCTGCGCACCAGCGGCGGCGCGCGCCTCTACGCTCTGCTCGTCTTCTGCGCGCTGCTGCTTTGCCTCGCGGCCTACTTCGCGTGGGCCTTCCTCGAGACGTACGCCTCCTACTCGGGCAAGGCCGTGCTCGCCAACGGCGTCACCAAGGTCAGGGCCTTCTCGCAAAGCAGCCGGCAGACCAAAGCCAGCGCACGCAAATTCGGTTTCTCTGCTTTCCTTGTGGACTTTCTTCCACGAAATGTGAATGTACCGATTTTGTGCCGAAGTTACGCGTCGAACTAAGGGTTCGTCCATAAATTATGTATCACATGGGGGAGGGGGTTTAATGCAGCGGTAGGCTGCGTTACGTAGAGATATGGGGGTCATAGATCAGCGTTATGTACCGTTGATATTTATTTTCATTTAATTTTTCTCTATTTGTTAAAATAATTCCTTATATTCAGTTTTATACCAAATATTAAAATATTAACTAAATTAAATTACACAAAATACATAAGCTAAAACGTCATGATGTATAAAAAGATAAAATAAATGAAAATATTTTTTCATCAGTGGTATAGCAACTCAATCTGTTAGATTGCAAAGAAAATATTTCAAACCAATCTGTAGTGTATTCTAGAACCCAATTAAATTGGCACAGTAGACGCGGAGCCCATGCATCATCTACGTCGATATTTACACATCTTGTTGTCAGAAGGTTTCTCGCCTGTGCCTTCTATCCAAAAAGTGGCCCCATCTTAATGATAAGTATAGTCCGTATCACCTATTAATTATGACTTCCATTATCATATATTTTAATGTATAATACAATAAAATTAACATAATTTTTTTACTGAGCTATAATTTATTTTTGCTTCTTGCTGGTGGGTGTATTCGTAAGCATTACGTAATTATTTAGGAGGAGGTTGAAGCGCGCGTTACGGGATCCTTACGGGGGGAGAAGGGGTATGCAAAATACTCCACATTTGCGTTACGTAATTTATGGACAGACCCTAAGTCGATGTTTTTGAGAGGACTCCAGTGCAGCTGTCTTCCTCGTCTATGACGTCAGCTGCGTGCATGGTTTCCTCTTGCGACCTCGACTACGTCATGTGTGGTAATGGAGTGACAGAGCATTGCTCTTCTTGTCGCATTTGGCTTTAATCGCATTAGGCATAAGTTGTGCAACCCTGGATAATGGTACGGTAAATATGGATATGTTAAATAGTAATATTATTAAACCTTTTCTTAAATTTTTGAGATGTGAAAATCATAGAAATTAAAATTTTTATTAGTCTTCTTTGTAAACACCTTAACTAGTCCCATTTAAGATTAATTTTTAGAAATCAAAAATTAAATGATTAAATGAATCATGTTTACGATTCAGGTAAGATATGTCAAGTTAATGAACAACTGTCATCGAAACACGACTCACCCCCATTTACCAATTGGTATGTAGAACGTCTAACGCGTTTTATTAACTTTTAAATGGCAGACAATGTTGTCTCGCATACATGCAGATGTGCATTCAGAGAGTAAACGTCCCTAGGTCGTAAAAAAGAAAAAAACTTCCTGGTAAAACTTTATTGTAGCAGACACAGCACATGTTGCATTATTTTTCCACGTAATTTGCAACAGGACTTCACTTTTCCAGCTCATTTATTCAATGCATTATAACTGAAGTATGAACTTTGCGTTTACAAATGATTCGATTATTTTTATTCATATTATTACAGTGTTATAGAATGTATTAATATATTGAAGTCTTTCCTGATAATCGATTAGTTTAATCAGAAAATGTGTTATAGCATTTTACTACATGGGAGGAATGTGTTTACAGCTAATTTTGTGAAATCTTTTACGGAAATAAAGCAGTTTGGTACAAAGCTCTGCTACAAAGAAGTTTTCCTTTGAATGTGTCTTCGTTGTTTGTTGCAGGCGATGCATTTTCTCTTTGAATTTTGTCCCCGGATAGAACAAGGGACGGTAAAAAGAATGACGCGGGTCTTATTTGCGTTGATCTCAGCGGATGTTCAAAAATGTAGAAATGCTGAGCGTGTGCGCGCAGGTGCTGCACTACGGGACGGCGCTGGCGACGGTGGCGCTGCAGGCGACGGTGCACCGGCGTCACGTGGCGCGCGTGCTGCGGCGCGTGGCCCTGGCCGACCGCGTGTTGCTGGCCGGCGACCGCACGCGCGTCTACACGCGCACGCACGCGCTGCTCGCCGCGCAGGTCAGCCCCCCCCTCCCCGCCTCGCGCACGGCGTCAAACTGTTGCGTCTAATATGACCAATGCAACGCGAGGGCTATTGCATAGAAGGTCTAATGCAGAAAAAGTCTTCCAGACATACGATCCAATAACATACGTCTAAAATGAGAAGGAATTAGATATTATGAAAATTACACACCAAAGTGAACCAAATTTTATAACACATTTTTAATAATTAGACCATTTTTATTGGCCGTGTTTTTGTAAACCTTTTGTCTTTAGATTTAAAAAATCAGACCTTCTGTCTTAAGAACTCACAACTTTAGACATAACGACCTCTAACCCTTGGAACAACCGAGCGCGTCAAATGATGTGTAATCTCAAGGGGAAGGGCGAAATATTTAAAGAGATACGAAAAAAAGATTCCAAATATGAAATTCAGTTTTTCTATCTAATGCTAATGCTATCTGTTGTCTAGTGCTAATGCTCTATCTAGTGCAATCTAATATAAATATATCACGCTCTCTTCTCTTGCTAATGTTATTGTTAATATTTCTTACGTTTTATTATTTATTTATTTATTTATTTAAGTTAAACAAGTTTTTTTACTTATTATTTTAAGTATTTATTTATTAATTTAAATTTATTTATTTAATTTTATAAGGTTGATGACAATGAGAGTCTCCCGATGTCGCAGATCCCAAAACTGCGAACTAAAGACCAATTTTTACCCATCTTAAAGTCCAACTAATGCACAATTTTTCGAATATACGTCCAGCTCTGGGGAAATTTGATGTAAAAATTCAATTTTCAATCAATTTTAAATAATAATTTTCTCAAAACGGCTCTCTGTTTTTTCTTTAAATTGTATCTTCGTTTGTACGAAAGGACACTGCTGATCTCAGTTCCGACAAATTATCTGTATTTTCGAAAATTGCGAAACATTATCGTTTGGAGACTGAAGTTGAGTGTATATACCTGTGTCTTAAACAAAATATGTTGTAAAAAATCAGGTTTTAAAAAAAGATCATGTATAATTTTTGGAATAAACGAGTCTATTTGCGTAATTTATGCTTAAAAAAAATGTTTTCTCAAAAAGCATTCCAAATATTTTCTTTAATTTTTTACGGATAAAAGAAGGAACGCTGAAAGGAAAGGCAGAGTTCTCATTTAATTGAAATCTCTAACTTTTCGAAAATTGCAAATTTGGAAATGATGCCAGACAGTATGCGTTGTTTTATCACCATTAGTTCTCTTCTGTACAGATTGAAATATATTTGTTCTTGTGTTCATTCTAGAGTGAAAAGGCTCTGTTAAGTATGATATTTTACGAATACTTAAAATTGTGGCAATCGAGATTACAGAGGATGTAAGATTTATATTATTGCGATTAACCGAATATTAACAGAGGTTCGCGAGCAAAGTGGCATTGTGAACGGCAGCCCTTGCGTCTGCGCTTGGCGCAGGTGGCGCTGTACGTGGCGATCCTGAGCGGCTACATGGCGTTCGACGTGCACATGACGCGCGCCATGGAGCAGTACGACGCGCTCAACTGGGCGCTGTACTACGGCGCGTCGCACGTGCCGCACGCGTTCAACGTGGCGCTGGCGCTGGCGGCGGCCGACCTGCTGTGGCTGCTCGCGCACCGCTTGCAATGCTTTGCCGGGAGACGCGCCACTGAATTGGAAGCGCTGCCGAGTGTGAAGGGCTCAGTGGGCGGGCGGGCACTCGAACTGCAGCAGGATGGCGCGCGAGGAGGCGGCGGCGCCGGCCATGCCGAGCAGCGCGCCGCCGTCCAGGGCGAAGAGGCCGCAGGCGGAGAGGCGGGGGGCCCGCCGGGCAGCGCAAGTTGCGCGGCGAGGCGGGCCAGCTCGGCGCGCGGGGCCGGCGGCGGGCCGTCTCAGAAGGCAGCGGAGGCCAGCAGCGCGCCGCGCCCCGCGCCGCCGCGCACGCCCCGACGCGCCAGCGCCGCCGCCGCCTGCGCCGCGTTCAGCACCAGCCAGAAGGCGTACAGGCGCACGCCGTAGTGCACGCTGTAGAAGACGCACGCCACCGTCACGGTCAGCACGTAGCCAGCAGCAGCAGCAGCGGCAGGGCCAGCGCGGCGTTGAGCAGGCGGCCGGCCTCGCCCAGGGTGAAGTGGCAGCGCGCAGCGCCCGCACGCGCCCCGCCCCGCCGCACCGCCCGCAGCACGCCTCGCAGTCCGTCTCGTCGCCCTCCTCCCCTCCTCGCTCGCCGCTTCTCCTCCCTGCCACTCCTCTTCTGCCTCTCCCACTCGTCCTCCGTCCTACTTCCTCCTGTCCTCCCTCCTCCCACTCGTCCTCTTTCCTCCTTCCTCCTGTCTCCCCCTCCTCTCTCCCTCCCACTCGTCCTCCGTCCTACCTTCTCCTCCTCCTCTCTCCTCCTCCCCCTCATCCTCTTCCTCTCTTCCTCCTCGTCCTCCCCTCCTCCCACTCTTCCTTTGTTCTCCTCCTCCTGGTCCCTCCCTTCTCCTGCTCCACCTCCTCTTCCCTCGTTCGCACTGTCCTTTCCATCAACGTCTTTTACTTCTTGGCACACCTCTTACCTTAGTCTTATATTTTCTTCTCTCCCTCACTGTTACTGGTTTGGTTTCCTTTCGAAAGATTGTTTTCATTGACACCACCTCTATTTATTTCTGCAGATTTCTCAAATTCTTTCTCCACTACTATTGAAGCTGTGGATTTTGTGCCGTATGTTTCCATTTTTCGATTGCTTTCTTCGTTCATCTCGTTTTCTTCTGCCAATTTTTGTCCAAGTCTTTTTTTTACTGCCAAAGTCTTAATATCTTCCACAATACCGCCTTTTTCTTTCTGCTTGCTCGATCTGCTGCTTTGAAAATTCACACAGCCTTTAATTTTCTTTCACATTTCTGTTGATCTCCTTTTCTCTGTCTTGTTGTGTGTCTGATACTAAACTACTTTCACCTTTG